AAGACAAAAAAAGACTATAAGAAGTTAAATATTATTTCCTAAGTAAAACACTACTAGAGTTCCAATATTTTACTTATTCTTTTTATTCATTAAGTGCCCTAGTAATATGACTCAGTGTTAGGAAACTATCACTATAGAGACGAATCAGGTTACAGGATCTTGCAGTAGTTCAGTAGGAGGGAATGTGAGGCTTGTGTGTTTGACGTCCTAAAACTTTTTGAAACTATGAAAGAAAATAGAAAGTCTATTGATGGCAATGAGCACAGGCTGACCACAACTGAAAGACAAGTTCAGTGACTAGTTATATAACTTTCATAATTGCTAACCCTTTTTTGACATAATCTCAATATTGAAATGATTTGATTTTGCAAGCCCTGAAGGTTTTGACATAATGCATTTAGTGGTGACTAAGTTACAAACACGCAGAATTTTTTTGCTCATAAATTAAATTAAAAGCAACAAACCCAAGGCAAATTAGGGTAAATAAAAAAGATTTTCATTCATTAGTGTACATTACCTCTCAAATATCCAACTTCATATTCTGATATTCAAAAGAAATTATAGTAATGTGGGTCAGGTGGGGTTTTTTTGTTTGCTTGGGTTTCTTTGGCTTTTTTTCAGAACAGTTATATCAAAGGTCCTAACTTCATAAAAAATTGGAGGATATAGACTGTTTAACATGAAAACAATATATTGCAAAATTCATTAACTTATCTGAAGAAATTTCACAAATCCTCACATAGAAAATATTTATTTTCATTTCTTAAAAGCAAAACAATTGCAGTATGTCTGTTTCCATCTCAAAAGTAACAAGAAATATTTTTGATGAATAAACAGCTCTAGATAAAACAGAAATCTGCTCATTAACGATTCTGATAGGTAGTCTACAACTTAGAGCTTTAAGAAGTTTTTATGAGAATATTAATAAGATAATTTAAGTATTCTAAACCATAATTTAAATCATAAATTGAAATTTATTTCATTTCCTACCACTTCTTTAATCATGTTGATCTTTTAATCTATATAATTTTCATAGAGAATTTATAAATAATAACGGCATCCTAATATTCAAAATATAGAAACTAATTCTAAATATGCAGAATTGTCACATCCATACATTATATTTCCATAATATTGCAGATGAATCCATATTAACATGTAAGTGACTGTTAACATTTTTCAGTTCTTTCCTTCTGGTTTGGATAGTCTTTTTTTTTTTTTTAATGCATGCAAAAATTCTGTATTTCCTATTTATTAACAAGAATTTTTATTTTAGCCTTCTTCCTGAAGCATGAAATTACCTGTGTGCACAGGTAATTTAGGCTGGCAACATGTGTTTTTTGCCTATACTACATACACTAGAGTTGATCTCAATGGGTACTCCTTGTCAGTGATAGCATATTTCAGGCTCCACAGCCATTCATATCTCAGAGAGCATTTTGAAACGTTTAATACAATTATCAAGTTTGATAAGGTTTTTTATTTATACCAGTCCAGAATATACTGGTCATGAGTCACCAGCTCATCTTACATAGTCTTGAAAAATCTACCACTGGTCATTATTACTATTTAGCAATAACACTGATGAAATTCTGTGTACTTATACTAGGAGTTGGCTTTTCATCATTGCTTTAAGTGTTAGCTTTACCTTCCTGGATACATGTTTTTCCCTATATGTTATTATATTGTAAACAAAATATTTGATTCAACTACTTTTTTTTGCCCCATTTTTGTAAAAATGAAAAGATGCAGTAAGTTAAACTGATCTCTTTAGAAAACTTGCACTCAATTTAGCATACAAATGTTATTTCTATATGCCCCTGGTGCAGTTTGCTTCCGAATAGAAACCTATATGGTTTCTATTATGTATTTTCATTGTTTTTGTTGAGTTTCATATTAAAAATCTGACACTAGTAGAACAACAGTTCTTACTGCTCTTAGTGCTATCATCATTTAGTAGGGTCTGCATTGATAGGACAAGGGGTACTGGTTTTAAACTAAAAGAGATTTGATTCAGAATATAAGATATTTGCTATAATATAATATATATATATCTTAATATATTTAAGATACATAAGAAAGACATGTTTTAGAATTAATGTGAAACACTGCAGCAGGTTCTCCAGAGATGTGGTAGATGCCCCATCCCTGGAAACAAAACTCAGGTTGGACAGGGCTCTAAACAACCTGATCTAGTTGAAGATGTCCCTACTCATTGCAGGGGGCTTTTAAAGGTCCTTCCAACCCAAACCATTCTATACCGGACAATGGCCAGAAATGAAACAAGGTAAACTCTTCCTCTGGTGTCTGCTAGTGCATTTACATCTATGAGAAGAGGCAAAGAAAATAATCCAGAAGACATCAGTTTAACAGACATAGACCTTATTCAATTCTTAAGTGAATTTTCTGATATGAGTAATAATTAAAAAGCTGAGTGCTGTACGAGAAAGACTATGTGGAAATGCAGATGCAAACAATACTCTCTTAGGTTCTCCTTCCCCCAAAGAATAGAATGGAAAGGTCTTTACAATTTTGCAATGTTAATGGGCTGATTAAAAACAAGATTTATAGGACATAGTCTTTACTTCTCCCTCTTTAGAAGTTTCATTGAGCAGTAAGAAATCCAAGACTCCCAAGACTATTAAGAGAGAGAAAGAGGATAGTTCCTCACTCTATAGGAGTCCAATGCAAATACTCATCTGGAATTGAGAAGTGCTTCCAGATAATCTAGTTCCAGATAATCTAGTTCCTGCTACAAATATACTTTGTCCATTACCTAATCAATTTTAGTGGAAAATACTCAAGGAAACCTTGTTGAGAGGACTGGAATCTAGGATTCCTCCATCTCAGAAAAGTCATTATCACTTTTGTAGACTTTATGTCTTTGTCATCCCCCTCCAGCTTCTTCATGCCTAGTCCGGATTCTGCATGAATAGGGAAGATGGACTGCACTGTCCTGTAGCCCAAATTCTAATGGTCTGAGCAGTGTTCTGGTAATCAAGGAATCAAATGAAAATCTGCTTTCAATTGCTCCCCCCCCCCCCATCCCCAAACAGGTATTGTACTCGAACCAATTTTTTAAAGAACGTGGTCTACCTTAACGGTAGATGATATACCAAAATGCTTATCCAGTCCAAACACATGATGTCACTAAAGTTAATGTCACTAAAAGTTTTTATCTGTTGCCTTTTTTTTTTTTTTAATGTGAACTGATTAGTGAATTATTATTGGCTTGAACAGGAAGAATTTCAGAAGTCAACCTCTACTGGAATTGTAACAAAAATTCTTTACTGGTTAAAGTCTCTAGCTTTAAGTTAATCCTGCTCTGGAAAACCCATATATTGTGCATTCCACTCTGTTGGTGAGTCCTTTAACTGGTTTGTAATACTGTATAGTAACTTCATACACGCCCACACTCCTTCTGCAACTCTGCTTCTGAATGAAATTAGCTGAGTCAATGGGTGCTACGGTTTGTGCTGAGCTTAATACCAAATAAAACCAAATAGATTGTAACACAGACGCAGGATAGATTCTTTCACAGATTTCAAATGTGGTAGGTGACACAGGTCATTGTCGAGAAGTTCTTTCTTAAGATAGTACAAGTCATTACGTAAGTCTAGTGTTGAAAATGTCAGTGCCCCGTTAGGGATTGGGCAAGTATGCAGTGAGATAAGTGCAATATGAAATAATAATGATGGTGCAGGTTTGTGTAGCATTTGGTGTAGTTAATATTTCATAATAACCATATCTAGGTTAGAGAAAGCAATAGACAACTAGAATTGATGTGGGGTTTCTCATATTCAGATTAATGACGTGATCTTTCAGCTTTCAGACTTTTGTTTGCATGCTTTTCAAATGTCTCTGGTATAAATTCCTAGACTAATTGGGAGGGGTGGAATGGGCATGCTTTTTACATACAGCATGAACATAGCATAACAGTTATAACGGCTTACCTGTTCCCTTTAAAAGTCACACTGAATATATACTTTCATTGAACATGATTATGATCATACATTTTGTTTTGTAATCTTAGCAAAAAATGCTAGTTTTCATTCTCATTATTTGTAACTCTCAGAGTCTGCTCTCTATCATGGTTGCATTTAAACGCCAAAAAAAGAAAACTCCATCTGTGTAGATTAGTAGAACATAAATGATGCTAGATCTCCTTTAAATTTTGGAATCTGTTGTACTTTTGTGCTTCAAATCTTCAAAGTACAGTAATATACAAATGCTCCCTTTTTATTACGTGATTGAAATAAATGCCATTTCACTGTCAATACACTTGACATTCAAGCACTTTAATATTTTATTTTTCTTTGAGAGTGGAATCAACTCTACTAGGGCTCATTTGGGGTATTGTAGAGTTGTGACGAACAACAGAACTGAGCTTAAGGAAAAAGCATCTATATAAATGTGACATTCAATAGTTTATCATGTTACTCCCAAGTTCACCCACACCCTAATCAAATACAAAGTCTTATTACACGTTTTAATGTCATAGAAGTTGCAGCTGGCTTCCATAATCCAGGATTTCCTGCCCAAAAGGACAAGGGGTCTTTGGAAGTTTAAGAAGTCTTAGTACAGCCTAAACCATTTAAAAACGACGGCAAGTGAACAATGTATACCTGGACATACTGAAGTATAAAAGCTTGTTTTACATTTCAGTAGAGACGCACAAGGTGAATTCTGCTTCTGCGCGCCTCTTTTCCTGCAGATTTTTGCACTTCCATGCAAAATCATCAGTGCTTTCTGTTCCCCGGGAGGCACAGGCCGTTCTAAGTAAGGCTCTCCCGCGTCTTTTTCTCCAGTGCCCCGTCTTTCCTCTCCATCCCGGGCGGGCGGGAGCGGCAGGGCAGAATGCGCGGTGCCGGGAGAACCCACCTAGAGGGCCCCCTTGACGCCAGCACAGCTTCTGCCAGGCAGAGAGCCCTCTCCGCAGCCGAGCCCAGTCTACTGCAGGGCCAGTGCCACGCAGCCCGACACTGTCCGGGGCTGCCGCTGCTGCTGCTGGGCGGGGAGACCGGGAGCCCGAGAGGAGGCCGGAAATTCTCGTCCGGGAGAAGGAAGAGAGAGCCTGTTGACTCTGAATTTGCTTCAAAATAGACGCCGTCTCTGTAGCCTGGGCTTAAGAATCTTTCCGAGGATACTTACCAGACCGTAAGGAGTGATAACTACTGTCTAGGACCTGAATTGGGAAAAAAAAAGGACAGCAGAGAAAGAATGCTTAGGTAACACGAGACTTATAGCTTTGCTTTCGTTTTGCGACTACAAATTGATGCACGTGGGTTTATATACAGTGTAACACCAAAACAGAACTAGATTCTGCAGTGAGAGTCGATAGCTTAGTCATTTTACTTAAAGGGAGCACGCAGGCTTATTATGGGGTTAGACAGCAAAAATGAATTTGGTCACAATATGATCACATCTCTCGTTGGTATCTAACTGTAGTCCTGTCCTATGGAGTGCAAAAAGCATACTTCTTTCTTTCTTAGCTAAAGAAACAAAGTCACAGTATTAAATTCAAAGAAGTTTGGGGTTGTTGTACAAGGCTATTAACATCATCCTGTTCCCTGGGCTTGTAAGAACGGAGAACTGCATTAAATTGATCACTGATGAATATGTGTCTAAGAAAGAAGAAAAAGCAATATTCATTTCTGAACATGGCAAAGCAATCTGAAGTTACACATCTCCCCCTAAACACTGATTTGGCACAGATGGCAAGAAACTATCTTTTCACTAACCTTTTCCAACTGTCCAAAATGCTGCATATGAAGATGCTTTAATTCACAGTCAAAGCACTTGGATTTTTATCAAGGCAAACTGTTGGCATTGTCAGAACAGTTTCTGTATACTGATTAATTTAATGTTTCTTTAAAATAGCAAATGATGCATAAATGGATGGACGTGTACCTAGAAAACCCTGTGAGAAGTCTTTCATTGGATCCTGTGAATTTTTATTTTTGTGGATTACAGTAATTCTTGCAATAATCCCTGCTGTTGACTGCTCATGCAGTTGTTCTGGCATGCATCTATGAATACCATAACAGATAAATCTGGCTGACAAGGAAAACGCTAATGTTGGAAGATCTGTGAACATGATGCATGTGAATAATTTCCCCTTTAGGAGGCATTCATGGATATGGTGAGTAATCAATACACATTATAGACTGTTAGACGCAAAATGCTTCTTTGCAAAATACTGTGGCAAATACCAGCTGCTATGTTTTTCCCTAAATTAATGTCAAAAAGGGCTAATCGAGGTATGAGAAAAATTAAAATCTTACAGAGATAGTAGTGATGAAGTAATATGAGTTTGGCACTCCTTTGCCTTTACAAAATAGGCAAGTTATAAAAACTGTATTGTTATGGTCATGTTTTCTTATATGGTAACAGTATTTTGAGCAGGGAGATGTGTTTTCTTCCTATATCAAAGGAACAGTTTTCCCCATTTATTTCTTAGCCTGACTCGAAGGAAATAGCAGAGATATTGTCCCCCTATGATATTGTTTTGTTTGTCCTGGAACTTATTTATATATATACTTTCAAGTGACCTGAAAACAGGAAAAAACGCTCATTCATATGGGAATTCAGTAATCTTTAATAAATGCCTTTGTATGGTAGGTTGTCAAATGTGATTGCTTGAAAGTCAATCATATAGCATTAAAATCCCTTTATCATCATTAAAACATCTGGTTCCTCTTTGAATCACTGGTGTCTATAGTTCTTCCTGACTGAAAAAAACCTTTCTACTTTCCTTGCAATACAGTGCAGTTAACTTGCATATAAATGCTACCAGTGGTTGTTGCGTCATGCCTTGCTCCTGATGTTGGGAATCAATGTCTTGGTTAGTGCTTAGTGACTAATTTAACTAAGGCAAAGATATTCCCTCATAAAACTTGCCCTTTGAGTAAATACTGAGTCTTTCAGAATATTAGAAGGAAAAGTTATGGAAGCTATTTTAAGAAAACAAACATCCAAGTTGAGGGGTTGGGCGCGTGTTTGTTTAGCAGGTTTTCCCTCAGTGGGCGTCAGGCTCTGCGCGTCAAGAATCTGCAGGACAGCCTGAGGACGGATTTTCCCCGGGAATGGTGCCGGCACGGCCGCGCTCTCCGGAGCGCCGGGGACACGCCGGGGCCGGGCCGAGCCGGCCCGTGACCGCGCCGCCGTCAGCGCCGCCGCTGCCCCGAGCGCCCAATGGCGGGGCTCGCGCGCCTCGCGTCACGCGGGGGGTGGGCGTGCCCGGCGGGCCGGACGGTGAGGGGGAGTTGTTCTCAGCCCCTCTGCTTGTTTTCCTAATCACTTTTTATAACCTTGCCGTAGGACCGTCTCAGGCTTTGTAACGTCCCTTGACGGCCGACTTAAAAACATATCCCCTAAGCAATGAACAGCGAGGTCTTGGATGTATTTAGTCTTCCTTAGCAGAGTGTGCTGGAAAGGACACTGCAGGTGTGCCCACACACCTGTCAGGGGGACTGCTTCCATTGTTTCCTAAGAATATGGCTTAATTCTCTTTTTAAGAACTTTTAGAAAAAATATGTTATGCATGTCTTAACTCCCTGGGGTTCATCTTCTGACTAAGCATTTTTCAAGCATGAGCCCTGAAGTCTGAGAGGTTTGGGACAACCTAGAAGTTCTCCGTTTATCTTCTCTGAAAGCTAGTTACCTGATTTCCCTTGCCAGCCCCTTACTGTCTGTCACATTATGTGAAGCCTTGTTTGGGGAAGACTGGCATAAGTGTTTACTGGGAAGATGTAGGAAGATAATGATATGTGCTGTATTTGCAATTTAACTGAATGCAAACCATACCATGCCTGCGTATGTGCTTACCTAATCACAGACCCTGATTTAGAATGCAGATGTTTCTAGCTGTTCATCTCAACTCTTGGAGAACTGGCAAATTTGCTTATTCATGCTACAGTAGTTCTGTAAGGAGCATTTAGAGGTGCCAGGGTGTTAAGCTGCCAGTCATTGCTTTTGTTTTAATTCAGAACCTTCAAAAATTCATGCATTGCCTGTAAGATATGCCAACCTTTTCTGTTGTGAATACAAATTGTCATGAAGAAAAGTTATATATATATATATATATAATGTCCTCTCATGCTACTTTCAGGTGTTCTTTAAAGGATGACAATGAAGATAAAGAATATCTTTCATGGCACACAAATAATTTTGTGTTTATTCAATAGAAATACTAGTTGATTGTCTTTAATAATGTTTCCAAAATGCTGATGCAACACATCAAAGGTATTCCGTGGCCAGCCTTATATGCATCATGATATTTGTAACCTCTATGTGCATACAGAAACAAATATTTTAGAAGTGGGACTCACTATTTTCAGTATCTTAGAGATGTTGCTTTTTAAAGATACTTTAGAGACATGCAGTATGCCTTCATGTGCCAGTTCTTGTTTGTCTCACGTGGAATATGGGGAGAAAGAGTTGGGGTGGGGGGGATAAAAATATAAACCTTTTTAAAATATGACGTAGTATTTCAAATATTCAGGATTTAGTGTTGTGTAAGTAGTCAAGGGGTGGATGTGTCTTTTGCATTAGGCCCTGCATGTGGATTTAGGGAAAGAATGATGGCCCTGAGAGCAGAATTTGGTTAGGAACCCATATGCTTTTGGACATGTAGTGAGAATTCCAGTATCTGAACCCTCCTGGTAACCTTAGCAATAGGTAGGAACTGACTGCTGGCAAAAAGCAGCTATAAAATACTGTATGTTTCAAGCAGCTGTATGTTTCAAGGCAGTATGACTGGGGGCACAACTGTATCAGACAGATAAGGGTAACTGTGATCCGAATGGACTCTAAAGGGTGTATAAAACTGAAACTGAAGTAGACAAAAAAGAGGTATTTTGTCTGAAATTGTTTCAAGGAGTTTGGATTGTAGAGAAGTAAATACAAATTATATTAAAGGGGTACAGTGGGTGGGGCAAGTGATGTCTTGGATGACGATGAAGTTAGTCCTAGAAATACTGAGACACATTTGTGATGATAGTAGGAGGAGTGGGATTTTATAACAGCTTACCTCATTACACACCATACAACATAAATTATGTATTAACAGTATACAGCTTACTGCCATTCACACTGACAGTTATTTTAGAAACATTTACTGCTGAGTTATGTAACCTAGCTTTCCTTTCCATTACATTTTATCTGCATTTGTGATGACAAACCAAATAAAGATAAACATGGCATTCAATTTTAGCTTGCTTAATTGCATAAGCAAATACTGCATGTGTCATTTAGCTTTACCATAAGGAAAACAGATGTGAGAAACCCATGTCCAAGAATAGCTGTCTTTAAACTGGCAAAGATTTGAAATTAATCCACAGGTGAATATATTGACTTCAGAATCAAAAATGTAACCTATGACTATTCATCCTTTTCTACCAACTTTTGGCCTATTAGGATTGAATGAAATTTAGTTTGGTTACCAAGACAATGAGTAAACAAAAAAATAATCCTTTCTTGGTTGCTTTGAAATCCCACCGTATTTACTTGACTATTATTGCTTTATATATTTAATGAAAAACAATGCAAATGCATGGTTGTACATGTTATTCCTTGCCTCGTATTAATTTTATTACTGACTAGTTTTTCAAGAGCATCTTAGTATCGAAATTTATCATCATTAACCATCAGTCTTGGCTAACCAGGGAGGTCCCAGATGACTGGAGTTTGGCCAATTTGACACCTATCCACAAGAAGGGCTGGAAGGAGGATCTGGGGAACTACAGGCCCGTCAGCCTGACCTTGGTGCCCAGGAAGGTCATGGGACAGATCATCTTGGATGTGATCACTTGGCATGTACAGGACAACCAGCCAGCAGAGTTTGGGAAAGGCAGGTCCTGCCTGAGCACCTGATGTCCTTCTATGACCAGGTGACCTGCCTAAGTGGATGAGGGAAAGGCTGTGGATGTTATCTACCTGGACTTCAGCTGGAGGTCAGGAAGGCTCTGCAGAAGGTCTGGACAGGCTGAATTGATGGGCCAAGGCCAACAGTACAAGGTTCAACAAGGCCAAGTGCTGAGTTCTGCACTTGGGTCACAACAACCTGAGGTAGTGCCATAGGCGGGAGACAGAGTGGCGGGAAAGCTGCCTGGCGGAAAAAGACCTAGAGGTGCTGGTCCACAGTGGTTGAACATGAGGCAGTAGTGTGCCCACTTGGCCAAGAAAGCCAATGGCATCCTGGTGTGTGTCAGCAAAAGTATGGCCAGCAGGCCAGGGAAGTGCCTGCACTTGGCTCTGGTGAGGCCCCACCTCGAATCCTGTGTCCAGTTTTGGGCCTCTTAGTACAAGAAGGACATTGAGGTGCTGGAGTGAGTCCAGAGAAGGGCTACAGAGCAGAGGGAGCTGGGGTTGTTTAGCTTGGACGAAAGAAGACTCAGAGGAGACCTTATAACTTATAACCTTATACAGTTATCTGAAAGGAAGTTGTAGCCAGATGGTGTTGGTCTCTTCTTCCTGGCAACAAGAGGGAATGGCCTCAAGATGTGCCAGGGGAAGTACAGGTTGGACATCAGGAGGAATTTCTTCAGTGAAAGGGTTTTTCTTCACTGAAAGTATTGGAAAGGACTGCCCAGTGAAGTGGTGGGCACATCACTATCCCAGGAGATGTTCAGGAAATCACTGGACATGGCACTTAGTGCTGTGGTCTAGTTGACAAGGTGGTGTTCAGTCAAAGGCTGGACTCAATGATCTTGGAGGTCTTTTCCAACCTAAACGGTTCTGTGATTAGTAAATTCCTGAATTAATGCAATTATTAATAAGGTCCTGTCTTCTGTTTTTGCCAGTGTTCTAAAATAATCATGCTAAATTTTTTATTTTTACATTTTATGAAACTTTATATGATTTTCAGCCATCCAAAATTTTGGTTTGGCTTTCCATTGTTAAGTAAGTTCTTCCACTTCATAAAAATAGAATATGTAACTGTGAAGAAAACTGATGGCAGATGAAGATCTTTATGCTAATACATAAAATCAGCTTTTCTTTATGTTCTTAGGACATGATGAGTCACCTCAGCTCACGAAGTTACGGGGAACTGAGTCTGACCAGTGCTATGCCATTCTCATGACATAACTCTTCACTTCTAACCTCAGTGTTTCATGCTGGTATTTATTCATCTGCCTGTTC